TACCATTCTTAGTTAGACAAACTAAATTCTTCAATTGTTACATTTGGCAATTATTTGCCAAACAACCCCCTGTTAAACACTGCCATTTTATAGACTGAAAAACAGTTACACAGATGAGTGAATGCTTGCAACAAACAAGAGCTGTGGTCTAAGGTTCCAGCTAGCTTCCATCTGGTTTTGGCCCCAAACTGACAACAGTTTCAGTATGCAAGGCCTTCAATAAGGAGGATGAGGATAAGCAAAACTAAAATTAGCTACATCTTCCTATGGCAGAATACTGGAGAAAGTGATGCAACTATCTCACTCCCTTATGCTAAGGTATGCAAAGAATTAAAGAAAATGAATACTTGAATTCTTTGTCATGTGATTTGCCTGTTCTTCCAAAGTATTTCCAAAACTAAAAGGTGCACATATTTACACACCTGGGATTATTTTGGACATGGTTTCAAAATGTTTATTTGAGCATGTACATTTCAGAATGAAAAATGTATATGCAAGGCAATGAACATCAACATGCTAAGGAGAAAAAAAACGCACCATGTAAGATGACTCAAAATTTCATTTTGAGATAATGATTAAGTTAAAGACACTGAAAGATGCCTTGTGTCAAGATCCAGTTCTGGGAAGAAAAATACCACCTCAGAATTTAGTTGTAAAACAGTTTGCATTTTTTGGGGTTGTTTTTAGTGTTAAAGCAAATCCCTCTTTTTTTCTCTTTTTTCTTTTTTTTTTAAATGGTTTCATTCACTGTGTTTCAGTTTTCAAACTACAGAACCCTTCAGTTTCTGTATCTGCAAGCCACAGAATCCCCTCAACAACATGAATGTAAGCTGAAAGATAGCTTGAGAAAACTGCAAATTAAATGTGCCCTACATGTAATGACATTCCTTGACAATCATTTCAAGCTAAAAGGACTGGCAAATTAACATTGGTTCTCATTGTGTAAAGTCCTTTATCAGAGGAACGAAATTCTCCTTGGCATTTGTATTAAACAGTGGGGGTGCACAGAGAAATAAAGGAAAATTAAAGAATATTGATACCAGTTACAGTAATACTGCAGTAGTTATACATCCAAATTAACCTGCATGCTATAAACACAGGGGAAGACTTTAAATTCCCCTGTATATTTAATAAGAGGAAATTTATGACTATCAATTTTGCCAAGGGGCAATAAGAAAAGGAAAAATTAGTAAAGAAAATAAAACAGTTTGACATGTTTAATTTCCATATTTTAAATATAAATTAAGATTTGACGAAAATTATTTATACTTGAAGCTACAAAATAAATACCTCAATTTTCAAATTTACGATTCAAATGGAAGTCTGGCAAAAAAGAATCTGTGTCATAAAAACCCTGAAAAAATACAATTAAAAAATAATTCCTTACATGCCATCACTTACACATATATGCATTAATACATGTGCAGCATAATTGCATCTGTTTCCCTTAAAAAGTGGACTGATTATTGGAAATAACCTCACTTTAATTCTGCCATTATTCAGATTAACATTTGGGTGTCTTTTGGGAGGTTTTGGTGGTATATACTGCTCACTTTATGCAAAACGAAGGTAAATGCCTCTGAAAGAAATGTACTTTACATATTATCAATTTATACAAGCAGCATGTTTCATTGTGAGTCATTCTGGGATAACAAAAGCTACCAACATCTACTCTATGAGCACTTAACATACACAAATTTTTACACAAATTTTTACACACACAATATTCCTACTGAAATGCTTTTTCATTCAAGTACATCTTTAAATTAGATGCAATTTATTTTTTTAAAAAGAAACAGCATGATGTACATTGAAAGTACGATCCTTTGCACTATTGCAATCTGACCACAAACTTAGTCACAACATTCATTTCATGTATTCAAAATGCTAGTACTTTACTCATCTTGTTTGTATATACAGGTAGTAATTAACCTCAGACTCAAAATTAGAGGCCACAGCTTAAGATCAGGCTCTAAGCTGATAGTAGCAGACTTGAACAACACATGTGACTGACAGCAGGATGTTCTCTCATAGGTACCCCACAACATCAGGGGAGTGGGGAGGCCTATCTGAAAGAAAACAAAACTTTCCCCCCATCCTCTCCCACACAGCCACTGGTGCGCTCAGCCTACAGGAACTGACCTCTCTGCTAATCGACTTGGTCTCTACGCACCTACAGTGCTGTCAACAGCTATTCCATGGCCTTCTCCTCCTTCTGGAGGCAGAAATCCAAGTCCTTTGTTAAGCAGACTTTCAGCTGAGTATGCAGCAATTAATTTCTACTATAAATTTTATTATAGTAAGTAGTTATATCATAATGCATTTTACTGAATTTAATCATTACACTATAGAAGCTATCTGTGCTAGACATATGTAATTGTCTAAATTGTCTACATGCTATCGACCAACATAAAATGTTCAAATCAACATGGGTGGATTTTGTCCAGTTACTACTGTTAGTTTCATACTTTCATTTTAGACACTCCTGTATCAGGAAGTTATATAAATGGAAAGACAGATCTTTAAATAGTTTGTATTATCACAATCCCATAAAAGCTAGATAAAATTAGACTAAGACCACTGCAAGTTTTCATTCAAGATCTTGAATAATTCTAATTTATTTCTAGTTTACTCCTTTTTTTTTATTCACATTACTGATAGCACAAGCAATGAGAATGATTCTCCCCCCCCCCCCCTTTTGCCATTTGGTCAGACTTAGCAAGCATTAGCTGTTTCAAACAAAAATGCAAAGTACCATTTCTCAGTAGTAAAGCAGTTACCAGTTATCACCCAACAGGCATTAATTTCAGTTCACATAAACGTCCTATTTCTACTTTGATCTGTCCTCAAGCAGCACGAAGCATCTAAACTGAACTGACCTTAACCTATCCAAAGATCATTTTCTTTCGGATAAAATGAAAATCCTTATTCAAGAGACTCCAGAACTTACATATGTGAACCAGAAGAGTGCACTACTGGGTCAGGCAAAACATAAGTTGAACATGAAATTTTAATCTTTCATTAAAAATTGGAATGCAACATCTATATTTAAACAACTTTATTAACATAGTCAAGCAGTGATTAACATTCACATCTATTATGTCACATCATACAAATGTAAATACAAAATTACTACAGTACAATATATATTCTCTGCATGATCCAAAATATTTGGTGGCCCCAAAAACTCTTTAAAATTCAGCAGCTTATCAAAAATTAAAACCATATTCTATTTAAAATGAAGTTCTGTTAGCACATAGGCAGACTTCAAGAAATATCACTCAATTTAGTACAGTTTGAGAGGTTGCAGGAGGATATGTTTGAAGGAAACATTCCAACATTGTGGCAGATACAGAAACATCAGATTTAAAGCTTTCAAGCAAAACTCATACAACCTAAGTTGTCAGCAGAAAGATCCAGTCATCTTTCATGTCAAACTATTTCGTATATGGCATCCAATTTAAAATTTTAGAAGCATCTAGTATTAGTAAGTCAGACAATGTACAACATAACTACCTATCTCTTACCATGAAAAAAGATATTACACTAGAGATTTCAACAGCCAAATGAACCTGCTTATACCAATCTTTTTTTCTAATCACTGTCCTTGCAAAAACCACCCAGGCCTTCTCAATTTTGTTGCTCACCCAAAGTAAGGAAATAGATACCGAAGGCAAAAAAGTAGCACAACAGAACTAGCTTATAGAAAAATGATGCTATACTGTAAGCGCTGAATTCTTCAAGATGTGGATTTGGCTTACTTAAAGTATACTGTAACACCGCACAGGGAATCATAGAGCCATTTTAAACTTCCCTCATATAAGTACATTCAAGTGAGTAAGCATCCTTATTACTTTAGCAGAATATACTTTACAAGGCAAGCAACAAGAGTACTCGCCTAAGTTTCCCATTTAAAATAATAATCTAAAACTGGCTTGCTCCAACCATTAAGTGCAAAAAGCAAGCATCAGTGGCAGACAAAAAACAGTTTCTGTTGGAGAAGAATACCTAGAAGACTGATGGATGCAAGTCATTCTGGAGAATGCATACGTGAGTGAAATACACAGCTACTGATCAAGCTTTATTTATTCAAAATGAGGTTACTGGATATACTTATGTAATATATAACAAATATGTATGCAAACTACATCAGCATCTATCTGAGATAACTGCAGGATGTTTTGCTGTTTCACTGTAGAGCTTAACCTTTATCTAAGATAAAAAGTTACTCTTTAGACCCTATATAGAAGCTTTATGCGACTATCATCCTCATGAAAGAGATAGTATTGAAGCAATTAGTGTTAAGTTGCAACTTCTTTCCTTGAAAAAATCTGAAACAAACAATTTCCAATATAATGTTGCATTTAAAGCATTTTTCAAGAAATATTTCAGTTGTTTGAGTATGGATGGATTCTCCCCAAGGGAAGAATGTTTTTGCACCTTATCTGTTAATACATTCAATATGAATAAAATAGGTGAAGCAAAAGTCATTATTGTCCCACAGTAGAAGGTTAATTTAGAGTAAGTTTAAGACAGAGGAGCTGCCTAAATGAAATACATAAACTAATATAATTAAGACACATTTTTACTAGCAGGTGTTCTGAACAAAAAGGGTACAAGAGTATTCACCTGAGATAAAGCTAGTATTTGAATATTTCTAAGTAGCAATGAGTTTCGCTTGAGGAGAGCCATTTGAAGTTTTAAAATATACATTTCACTATTATACAATATATGCAGTTTAAGTAATTAAGATTGATGCTAACATAAAAGTCCTAACAAAAAAAAAAAAAATCACAGTGTGTATCAATATTGTTAGTTACAAAATTTATGCTACTTCATAACTTTTAAAAATTATAATGATTATAAATTTTAAACCCATTCTTCTAAAAGTGACCTTTTGAGTACAAGCTTAAGGAGCAAAAAACTAAAGCATAAGAATTAGCTTATTACAATTTAAATATATACATATTCACTGATTTAGAAAATAATCAAGCTTTGGAAAAATTTACAAAATTGATTATTTTTGCTTGCACTGGTTAAAATCATGAACTATTCTAATCTTTTTCCCTAAATGAAATGAGCTGTTTCCTGAATGTGTAATGAAAAAATTTAGTATTGAATTTCACTTAAGACTAATTTAATAGCAATTTAGAACTGCCAAAAAGATGCATTTGTAAGGTTTTTAAATACACTTTCTGTTACCAACTTAGGTTGATCAGCAGCTTTTGTTCACTCTCAGAATCCTTCAAAAAGGGAAACTCAAAACAGGAAAAAGGCATATATAAAAACAGTAAACACTGACCTCCTGAGGTTCCTACAACAAAAATATTCAAGTAGAAAATCTACACCATTACTTAGCAGCGGCTATTTCTGTAGTTTAGCACACTAACAGCACTTTATTCAGTGTGTAAGGAGCAAATGAAGCCAGCCGTGCTTTTAGCATGCCAAGAGGCAGAAACACTGGAATGTAACAAAGACAAACTCACAATTCTACCAGTATAAACATTCAGTCAACATTCAAGAACTGTCAAGACTACACCACAAGAATTAAGATGCTTTTTATATATCCCATGATGCAATAATTGAATTATGTTAATGCTGATTCAGAACTTTTCTTACCTCACATTATACCCCAAATGGCTTCTGCAAATCTCTGTGCTATATTATGTGTTAGGAATATGGTTTACTTGCTTTAAAATATACCATGAGAGAACTTACTGATACAAAAGACTATTTTGTCAGTACTGTTTATTTCTGCCTTATTTTAATTATTTTCTTTGCTGTTATACCAGATCAGTTCACATCTGTACAAATACCTATTAAAATATGTATGTACAAAAGTGGCATTCTAAGCTAATCCAAGGTGAGGTGGAGTGGTTTTATTTGGTTAAAGGGGCTTTCTGAAATTTAAGAAGTTTAGTTAAATTCAGATTCTAGCAGTTATGCTACAGTATTATTTGGGTAGGTTTTCTATTCTACAAATTTTTTAATGTAATTTCTCTGAAACTCTTCCCTAATGTTCAAACACACTCAAAATCAAAGCAAGTTTAGGTCTAAAATAACCCCCCACCTTGCTAAATTAGAGGGTTTTTTTCCTTCCAGAATTTGGTTTTAAAGTGTTTTTAGTGACTATTACTAATTTACTTCAGAGCTATTAGCTAAGAAGGAATTTTGTATTTGCTACTAAAGCGATGTAATTTGAAAGCAAGTTATCACATGCAATTTTGACTAAATTGAATAAACACTATGTACTAGCATTACTGAATGTACTTCATACAGTACCTGTCCAAACTATTCTTCAGGCATAATCCATTAAAATTTGCAAAGCCAAAAAAAAGGGGGGTGGGGGGCATGTAAAACATGCATGTTATCATGCATTAAAAAAATTATCAAAACTCTTTGAACAGCATTTATAAGGTCACACTCACACAGCTCAAACTTCAGTGCAATGGCTAAATCATTCAACAGTCAAAGAACAGAACCATGCAAAGAAGAGCAAGTTCTTTTAAAAAAAAAAAAAAACCAAACAAAAAAACCCCCAAACTGTTATCCAGTATCCATTCTGCAACACAAAGGTGAGAAACTAAATCTACAAAAAGGCTGTTATGGCTTAATTTTGTTTTGCAGATTAATTATGCAGCACTTGAAAAATGGAAAGGTGTGGCTTCACCTCTGACCAGCAGAGTTAAAAATCTCTCCATTTTCCTATATCATCATGGGATACTCTTTAGGCAATCTAAATTATTAAAGACTTGCCACTTTCAGATGGACACAAGATCAAGTGTACCAGTTAGGATTTCACATTCACAGTACATAAGAAAATACACATGGAAGGAAAAGTAAAGGGTTAACTTAACAAGGATTTATTCACAGGAATACATGTAAGTAGAGAAAAAAAACACAACAGAAAAGCTAAACAAATGAAATGAAGAGGATCCAAACCAACTTTCACTCTGTAGCTTTAAACTTGCACCCTTGTGCATTTAACTACATCACAAAGGGCCACCAACATGCGCCGATACAGTGTAGATACCCTGCATTACATCCATTAACTTAAACATCTCTATAAGATCATGCTTTGAACAAAAAAGAAAGCATAGAAGGTAATATGTTGAATGGGAATAAACACAAATATAGCAATCATGTCATCAACTTCTACAATTGTCTTTACGTGCCAACTAACATTTATGCAGCCTTTAACGGGTCTTATCATGTAACTCATTTTTAGAGATTCTGATAAAATCACTAGTATATAACCATGCAGAAAGCACATCACACTGACAGCACAGAGGCAAATATTTTGCACAGCTATATCAGCTTTCCACATTGTGCAGGTTACACACAATACAATATCAATCTTATTCTTAACAGATCCTAAAAAGGTATTTCAAGGCCTAATTGTTAACTACAGTACTTTATATCTATAGTCTTAATAAAAATAAAATCCACAGAATCTGAAAAAGGAATTTTAAATGCAGGGCTATATTGAATTGGTAAACTGCAACACAAAACTGGCGCAACATAGGTAAATGTATACCAATTTCACTCTATGTGATGCAAGCATGCTACTTTCCCACTAATTTAAATGACTTCTGATCACTATGAGCCAGAACACATGCCTGAACCTTAAACTGCAGGTTAAGAATAATACCTTACTCTAGAAATTAAATCTAATGAAGTACAATAATCAAATCATATCCACTACTTTAATTCTTTTTTTAATGTAAAAATTAAATGTCAATCTTTCCTTTGAAGTGCCCCTCCCCTTACCCCAAAAATGAAAGGAGCGACTCATTTGGCAGCTTGCAGGTTGCTTCCTTTTGTCCAAGTTAACCTTTATTAATTTACGATGGGGTTTCTATATTGTACACTGCAAGTGCCTGCTCCTAATACAGACACAAGCTGCATTTTAACTGTACTAACTTCATTTGTGTAGTTCTTCATTAACATGCAAATACCTAGGAATCCCATCAAGCAGGATGAAATAATGTAGAAAACCCTTACTTAAAAAAAACATAAAAGAAAAAAGAAAGCCTTTTACTGTTTGTGACCCCCCATTCTTAGGTTTCCTCTATTGTGCGCAAAATAGTTTTCCTCTTTACGTATCCCTATGGTTCAATTATATGGTTCTTATTTTGGTACAATTCCCCACAATATTCCAGAATGTGCTGTTTTGTGACTAGATTCTTTTTTTTTTTTTCCTTTTTTTTTTTTTTTTTTCTTCTTCACATCCAGTGCAGAGTTGTAATAGGAGACAGATTTCCACCCACAAAGGCTCCAGATGTTAAAACATTTCCCAACATCGACTTAATACAGTGACGGCAACACCTCCCTCCCACCCCTCCCAGTAGGGTTGGGATTGTACTGTATTCCCTACTGGTTTACCCTTCCCCCCAGTAAAGGGTAACATTTTCCCTGGGTGCAGAGGCTCCCTCATAGTCTCCCAGACTGAAGGACCTGTAAAAGCAAAAGATAAAGGTATAATTAAATCTCACCTTGAACCTTAACTGACAGATCTGTGCATAAACAAAGAGCTTATTTGCCTTTTTAAGCAGTAGGTGCCAACTTTAATTTAAAAACAAATTTATTTCTAGATTCTCCCTTTTAAGTCTGTTAAGAAAAGATCCCATTTATATCAGTTAAATTATTATTCATGACAAGGTATGTTTTAAAGCTACATTGACAGTTCCACTGTTGTGGGTAAGCTTAGATTTAAGATAAAAGTAGTCCTATATATTCTAACAAGCTTTTCCATTTTTAGCACAAAATTATGAGGTAGTTATGACATTGAGAAAAAATATTAAACATACCTGCTACCGACCTAACAACTTCACTTTTACGCAGATTAAGCAAGATAACCATAGTGTGTCCTCAGTTCAAACTGAGAATAATAGCAAAATTTTATCACTTTGGATTCCTCTTCATTAGGAGAACACCCTTATGTCAGACCTAAAATGCCCTCATTGATAAATATGTAGATGTTTGAAATTGATTAATTTTTAATCTATTGTTCAGATGAAACATGTAATTAAAACAGGATTTCTTATGTCACTGCCTTTGAAAAAAATCTTAGGCTGACTTTTAAATAGTTGTCCATTCAACAATAAAACAGAATTGCATGATTCAATCCCCTAATTTCATTACAAAAATTCTACAGCAAGTTTCAAATTTATATAAAGATTGAATGAATAAACTTAATTCCTTTTTTCTGGGTAGTATAATCTCTTCACAGTATCACTACTTCACACATGGGAAATTTGCTTTATACAGTGTGCACAGATGGCATACCAAGCAAGGTGGTATAATAATGTAACTATTCTAGAATTTACTATCAGTGTTCTTTGCTAAAGTTGAATCATTCTCTGCACAGAACTGTAACAATTCTGAATTGGTGCACAAAATGGAACATAGCAATAATAAACACATCAGCCTCCCCAAAACATCAAGCTCTATGGTTACTGTAGAGTTACAGATTAGCATAACATCCTTTATTCAGTGTAAAGATCATCCAGTATGTGGTTAGGAGTATATTGGACTTCTCATGGCTAAAGTGTGATAACAAACTTGCTTTCCTACCCTAGAGGAACATTCCTGCTTAGACCACATCTGCCACCTACTAATTCATAAGACATAAGGGAGCCAGTATGATGGCTTGAGAATCATATTCATCACTTGGCTTATTACACTTGAACCAGCACTTTGTTATACCTACACTTCCAACCTTATCTTGATAAGCTACCGTGTGTATCATACACTCACTTTTTCTTTCTTTTTCTCTCTGTAAAAATAAAATAACGTCAGACAACTGCTTTTGCTACAGCTACCATCCTTAGGTATACTGTCATCCCTTTTTTTTCCCTTCTTACTGTAAGGAAACATATCATCCAGTGTATCTGAAAAATTCTGGTCTGATGAATTAATTATGTTTCATATAATACAAACAGGGAAGAAGTATGCTATACAGCTCTGTTTAGCAAGGAATATTTGTGTGCTTACCTCTAATTATGGGATTGCAGCTACAGTGCATGAGGTTAAACTCCATAGTAAGCTGCAAGGCGCTCTTTTAAGGGAAGAGGAAACTGGTCAGAGAAACGCCTCCAATTCTCATCCCCAAGTTGATTTTTAAATCCATGAAGAATCTACAAATGAGAGGGGGGAAGTTGAGATAATCACTAAACTGAGGATACGTTATTTACTAGCAACATATGCAGTAAGCCAGAAACTGCTGGATTGTACATCTGTCAATTTCAATTCTCTGATTTAATATCGAAATGCTACTAAGAAACAAAGGAAGTCTAGTAATGTCTTTCTTATCTGAAATGTTTTTTCTTTTAAGGGTGACATATTTCTTTTTTAAATGTGTAATATGTTGTGGGAAGAAAGCTGAGCCAAAACTGCAGCCAGCATTTGACAGAATGAATACCTGTCAATTTCTAGCACAAATACAAAAGCATCCTGCAAGAGCTCTGTTTTTTTCCATGGAACCTGTAAGACAACTGTCACTAAAAAGGAAGCTGTTAAAATATTTTGTGTTTTGAAAGAATAGGGATCCACAGTCAGTGGCAAAACACAGCAAAAGAGGAAAAAACAAAAATCTACGCATTTCAGTCTGGACATTCCGACATAATAAATTGACTCAAAACTGTGAAAATTAAATGATACTATCAAAAAGGTCTTAGAATGTTAGCTCTGAAAACAGCAGGTTAAAAGGCAAACATTAGAAAGGACAAAAGCAGATGAAACAGCTCCTCCTCACAGAAAATTAAACCAAGAGAGTCTGAAGTTTTGTTTTTCTTTTTTAAATTCAATGATACTGAATTGTGGAACAGTGTCATGAACACATCCTCACAGAAAAGGCAATGTCAAAGTTAAAGCTCATGGTACTGAGTTCACCCTCAACACAGAGTCAGGCAGAGCTGTTCTTAAACAGGATGTAGTGATAATGACATTACAGTGTCACCAGTTAACTTACTGCTTTTTTCCCTGAAAAGAGACCTTCCACGAGCAGGTTCATCTCTCTCTCCTAACCCAAAGAGTCAGATTAGCCAGCTGCCAAGAAACTACAGAAAATCTAAGAATGTTCAGGTATGACAAAAGGAACAGTTTTTAAATCATCTTCCAGTAGTTTTAGCAAGTGACCTTCAGCTACAGTCTTCAGATACCTTGCTTTTATAATAAGTGATAAAATTCTGAGGATACGTGTCAGATTTCAACACTGGCAGCTCATCTACTCATGCTCTTGGAAGTGGTATTTGCCCTTTCAGCTCTAGTGCTAAAAAACAATACAACACAAGAAACACTGGACAATCCACTTTTTTCCATTGTTCCCGATAGGCATAATTATTGTTGGAAAAACATCTAACTGGACTACAGCAGTCATATATTCATGAGGAATTAACCTAAAAACCGTGTATGCCATCACTTGAAGAAAGCTTTATCTCCTTTCTTGCATGGCAAAAAGCACAAAAGAACACACTTTATAAAGCAAGGATGTCCTTATGCCACGTGACCTAGTTTAAATGCATTAGATCCCACATGGATAGCTTGGAAAGAAAGAGGAGCCTAACTTACTGAAGCAAGTATTCAATGCTGAAGGACCAGTGCAGAAACATGCACTGAAGGCTGCTTTGAACATTCATCACAGACAGCATCCTGGACTTTCTTTTAAGCTTGTACATATTTGCTGTTTCCTTCTGCTGATGTTAGAGTACTCACAGCTGTGCATATCCTGGACCTGATGTTCCTTTGAAGGACACCAGTGATCTGAGAGGCTAACTAGCACAGTGGGATTTCTGTCTTTGCTCTTAAAGATGGGATGCAAAAACTCTAGCTTCTGTTTTGATGGTCACACATAGCATTACTTCAAGAAAAAGTGCCATGACCCATGATCCTAGTAAGTACTTAGGAATATGCTCCATTTTTGCTTTAAGAGGAATATCATGAATTTTTGACATACATCCTTCCTAAAAACAGAGATTTCGCTTTACAACTTATGAGGGGAGCCATACTGCTGAACACTAACAGCATCTGTTTCTGAAACTGAAATAAGTTTCTTCTCTTTTTTTTTTTTTTAAATCTACGACACTAGTGCCAAAACACAATATATCGCATTCTGGGTGGGTTGTTTTTTTTTTTTTTGCTTATTTCACACAACGCAAACAGCACTTTTGCTTAAATTCTATTGACACTTTGTCTAGGGATGTAGTCTTGGGTATAACTGCACATTAGTTTCTTGAAACTTGCTCATCCAAGAGGGATTCCAAGGAGGATTAAGCTATCCTCAAACCTCATTTTCAGCAGGAGTAAAGAGAAACAGACTGGGGTATCACTGGAATATTTTTCATTTGCAATTTTCAAGATATTTCTCCAAAAAAGTAGGCATCTTTGTGGCAAAAAAGTCTTGAACCATACAAATCTCATTTTCTAGAAAAAGTCTTAAATGTGGTATAAATCCCCCTGTTCTTCCAAATGCAGGCAAAACATAGTAGGCTGTACATTATGAAGAGCTCTTTGAAGATAATTATCCATTCAAGTAAGATCTCAAGTGAACTTTTCAATACTGTTAAAAAAAGTTTTGGAATAACCCAAATGTATAAAAGAAAATACAGGTTAAATACAAAAGTCAGGATTTTCATGTTGCTTTGTCTAAAAATTTATGACCTGGCAAAGAACCCTCCATAACCACAAATACATTAAGTGCTAACAGTGGAAATAGAAAGCAAGAAAAAAACCCAGAGGATCCAAAACAACCACCATTAGGATATGCTGTTATATTAGAAACCTCACCTTACAGAACATGTCTCGGAGATCATCTTTTGGGCTAATCCACGATGCAACAGCATCACAAAAAAAAATAAAGTCCTATAAGATTAAACAATCACATAGGTTAGAAACATCAATGTATGAGTGTGAAAACAATGCTTGATGTTCATTCTATGAACTATGCAGAGTCTTTGATTTTAATTCACAACTGCTTTTGTTTTTATGTATTTACTTTCCAGTTAGTTCAGACAATAGTGGTAAGTTATTGTATACCTAAGCGTTCAGAAATAGCTGAGTGTAGGAATAGCTTTATTTAATCAGGTTTTTGATTAAGTAAAACCACAGTGTAGGAAAAAAAACCAGCTCTCCTCTCCCACACCACACTTGCCTAACATTAATTCTTTCACTACACATACCAAGTTCAAGAACTAATCACCTTAATAACAAGCAACAAACTCAAGACCACAGTTGCAACACTCTCACGCATTTCCAGTTAGGGAAAAAAGCTGTTGTATTTCTTCAAGCAGAGCCAGAAGTTTTTTCTGGGACACACAGAATGTTTATCATACAGGTTCAAAACTAAAGCCATCCCAAAATCCCTATACTCAGTTCATTTGCTGTCATGCATACCTCCTATTACACCATTAAAACACCAGTCTTTAATCATTAAGTTGATGATGCACATGTTTTTGGGTCGGAACTGAGGATAACAACTACAGAGAAAGAGAGATTGGATAACGAAAAGAGTTCCCCTCCCCCTAAGCTATGTGAAAGGGCAAATGGTCAGCAGAAGAAGGAAATGCTAAATACAGAATAAGACATAAGTGAAATGAACTGAAAATTTAAAACAAGGTACAGGCTAGTTCTTGTGTTTCAGGAAGAAGAATTCCAGGCAGAGGAGACGGAAAATCACCTTCATTTTCCCTTTAGAAAATATGGTACAGCTTTACTTTGGAGGTGTGGAGACTAAAGAGCAAGTCATATTCTATTCTTCAGATGTACCATTCATTTTAAAGAGACACAGGTTCCTTGTCAAATTGACTATTTAAGCAATATATCCAAAGTTGAAACAGAATCTTCCCTACCCAAGTTTTAAGAATGAAGGGGTGGTTACTGTGTTTGATCTGTTTCTTGTTTTAAAAGCCTAGGTTATATCTGGAAAATAGGTTTAAGTATGTCAACTTTTGCCTTATATTTTCATACAGATACTAACCACAACCTAACAGAAGTATCAAAACAGAGTTATTTTAATCAAAGTTCATTATTTACATATTCTTTGTAAGTAAAAGACAAAACCTGAATTTAACAATACTCTTCTCCTTTCCTTTGCTACATGATAATTACTGCAGCATCATGATACGTAACATTTGAAATATAAACATTTTGGCCTCCTTGAACGCAGAATAAAACTACATCATGTATTGCAGGGAATCGCATGAAGCTAAACTTTTTCATGCTCCATATACAGCTTTCACTGAATTTCACATGAGTAAAGAAAAGAAGTTAAGATCTATTAATGGATCTTACTTGGACTACTCCACTGGGGTTGACCGAGATCATGGTACATATCCCACGGAACGCTGAATCCTTTTCCTCATTGTCTCTTATGTTTCGCAGAGAGGTGCACCTAGCAAGTTGGAGAGCAAAACTTAACTAACGCTATTACTCTTTATTCAATCAAGTCAGAACTAGATGATGGTATTTGATGGAATAAGTCACACTGATAAGACTATCTGAAACACTATTTTGAACACTTAGAAAAACACTTGTTGCACACAGTCTTTACTAGCATATTCCCATTAGGCATCATCTCCAGAATCTTGTTCTCCTGTTGCACTATATACAGTTAGAAAGTGTGACCTGTATTCCATTAAATACAAAAGAAACATGTATCTGAAATATTTATAGAAACTATCATTATTAGAAGCAGAACATATAATACTATCACAGTATGAATTATGTCAGATACCACTTACAGAACAGTTATTTAACTTTTACAGCAGCAAGCAAGCTATTTTATACGTAACAAATCTATAAACATATATTCCTTACAGCAATTCAAGCCTCAGACTGAATTTTAAGTAAAGTAATGCACGGTTTAAATTTTACGGTATTTGCATGCATTGTATTATCATTCTGGTGGATTTTAAAATGATCTTTCATAGTCAAGCTTTAACACAGCAAGCATGTGACAATCTTATCCCATGCATAAATTAGTCGTTAGCCACAACATAAAGAATACATGACGGTGCTACTAAAAACTCACAAACCTGATAGGACAAGATTAGTCACATGGTTGGCAATGATTAAGGATTGAGATTTTGTAACCAACTGAAAATATATCTAAAAGTGAGATAGAGAGAAGAAAGAAAGAAAGAGAGTGAAGAAAAATGAATTAAAAAAAAAAGATTGAATAATACACACCAGGGTCTTATAAACTGCTGTAGCATGGGGGCCACCTCTTGAGGACAAACGTAACCAAGACGACCAATTGTTATTGCTAAGGTAACGCAATCACGGTTATACACCACCAAACGCCAACCAAGACATGAGCAAATGAGGGGGGAGGAGAAAAAATAAAGAAAAAACAACAAATAACTCAGAAACAGAAACCAACAGAATCTGTGTATGATAATAAACATAAGATTTCACCAGTGCTGTTTATTACCACCCCCTAAATAAGAGGCAGCAACATATATGGTATACTCTCCAGGGTAAAAGAAAAATTAAAGAAGTAAATGAGAGAACACCAAAAACACAATTTAAAATCCAAAGGCTTTCTGATGTAAGCAGTCATTCTGCCCTCTTCAGAGTAACCTTTCAGTAATTTACCTACAACATATTTTGAAGTTTTTATTCAAATGTACTATTATGGACACTCTCGATAAAAAGAAATTAACCATTTTCAGTTTTAGTATCAAGTATTCTAAACATTTTATTTTTTCGATATTTAGAATTCAAGATTTTAATAGATGTACTCTATCAGTAAAAATACATTTATAAATACTTCTACATGGAAAATATTGTGGTCTATCTAAAAATGCTTAATAGATGAAACACTTCTCAAAGAGCACTAAATATTTGTCGTCTTAATAATCTCATAGAGAATTTAATTTGAAGTGGTTGCTAACTCACAGCAACTGACTGCAGAAAATTAATTCTTTAATCCCAATATTTGTCCTGTTCACAAAAGGCATCCTCATAGAAGTCGTGTAAGAATCTGACTTCCAATACCAAGGCATAAGGACACAAGAAAAGCAAAATTGCTTCATCACACGATTAGGTAGTTTGGTCCTTTGTTCTGAGGGACAGACTGAAGAAAATATCATAATGCAAATGTGTTTTAATGGTGTTTGCTCAACTCACGAAAGATTAATCTTTAGAAAAAGGAGAGGGTGGGGAATAATGTATCAGGATTACTTGAAGCAAAATACATGAATAATACTAAAATCCAGCAGATTTATATGAAGCAGAGAAAGGAAACCTATGTTCAAGGGACATACTATGCAACACTCTAATTAACAGGCATTTGTGAACAGTTTCATGAAACATGCAATAAAGCAGATGATGCTTTCTCCAATAAAAGTTTGGTGTAGGATATACTAGCAGTTTTAAATCTACTCACTCCATGAAAGCTGCAGCTCACTGGTAATCTACTGTTTTGCCCTGATGTTAATCAATTTCCATATGCAGCGTCTAAAATTTTCAGCAGATATAACTTATAAAACTGCATTGGAAGTGCTACTTTCAAGTGAAAATACACTTTCATCTGTAAATTCTCACAGCTACAGTCTGTACAAGAAGAGTAATCTCTGTCAAAGCTCAACTTTTTGCATATACTGGTTATTTTTTATGCAATTACTTTTACTTAAGGTGGCCTCATGTTTCCATAGAAGTGTTTTCATAGTTCCTTACATAGCAAGCTAAAGCAGAAAACAGTAATATTCTGGCACATGCTAGTGGCATGCAGCACAATATCCCACAACAAACTTATTATAAGTACACCACACTCAACATTTATTTGCAGTTATGCATCCACATTTAAAGTAACTATTAAGAGAATAAAAAAACAAAAGTCAGTGTTTGGATGCTTCCAAAAATTCTCTAACAATGATGGAAGCAAACATTTAAGTACTGGATGCCTCTCAGTTACAGGTATTACACATCCATCAGTGCAGAGGAAGGGGGTCAGGGCAGGGTCAGGGGGAAAGAAAATTTATATTGCTATACTATCCCATGTTATATTTCACAACAAGTAGGTATTTGCTCCAAAATTATCTTTTCAATAAATAGTACCTATAATATGCCAGCCAACTAGGTAAGTTCTCCTTCAAGTTCACCTTCCATACTAAATGGGGGTAAGGGGAGGGGGGCAGAGAAAGTGCTGCTTTTAAGTTTAAAGAATACCGGAGGAAAAATACGCATCGAAAATCTCTCCAATTTATCTCTTGCTTAGCTCAAAAAATATAACTCTACCACTGAATTTGCATCATTTTCAATCACGTCAGGTATAATGACTAAACTGTCATTTTCTCACAAGACAGTTAGTTTTCAAACAAAAAAAAAAAATTATTCTCAATTAGTAAAATAGTAAACCAGAAACCTGTCAAATTAATACAGTTTTGCTGAAGTATGGAAGGTGCTTTTCATACCAGAACGTGCCCTCTATAAATGCAAAAGAAACAAGCCTCAGAAATTCCGATTCAATAAGGCATTTGGGGATTGCTCCCAATTTGGAAGGCAAAGCTGTGGGCCAGAACATAAAACATGCATGCCATTATTAGAATTCTTTTCAGAAATTTGTTATTAAGTGACCAGGTAACAGAAGTTATACATAATTTCAGTTATGCTGTGGTAAAACTGCCATCACAGATCTAGATTTTTGTGCATGGTATTACAAGTTTATCTTAAAAAAAAAAAGTGCATTTTTTGTAAATTCAAAGAGTTCATTATTTGTTTTATATATGCCAATTACATTTGTTTCAAACACTAGACATATATATACAGTACACGTGTAAGGACATGCATAGATTAAAATCAGCGTGAACTACATTTTATAGTGTTACTGCATACATTTGTCATATTCAATATGTAAATAAAACTGGGAGAATACTTAAACAGATGATATATAAATATAATAAATGTTATAAAACTGAGAAAGCAGTAACTTTAAGAATCTAGATATATGATACATGGTTTGCTGCAAGACTGAGACTTGTAAGAGCTTCTGCAAAACAGAGTTGCTTTTGCTTATAAAAGCCAAATACATAGCAATAAAATCAGTTCTGGTGTGGTTCCCCTATGCAATTTTTTAAATCATTATGAAAAAATCTAATTCCCTTCACCATGTATGGTTCAGTTTTTGGGTACCTGTGTTCTCTAACAACGTCTTTGGTGTGTTGGGTCTGTTAATTATTTCTACAAGCTGGTGCAACACCATTGGAATATAAGGCTGCATCTCTATACCTGGAACAGCCAAAAAAAAAAAAAAGGTCATTTTCTTCTGAATCTTTCATTAATATACATAATCTAAACAGATCAGATACATTGAACTTAATAACAGGACAAGAATCTCAAATTTAATTTAAATTTTAACATGAAAGTATCATTTAAAAAAAAACAACCCCAAAACACCTAGACAAGCTATGCTAAATGTGCAGAGATTCAAAGAAAAAAAATAAAGCTTACCCATCTGGATGGAGATTTCTCCAATTGCCCAGGTGGCATTGTTACACACAGAAATGAATTCAGGGTTTAGGTTGGTTCCCAAAATTGGCATGAAATCAGCTAGAAAGAACAACATTTTAAAATCTTATCACACAGTACAACCATCTTGTCCCATTACTGTAAGATCATGGGGGAAAAAAAAAATCAGGTAAAGGTTATTTAAATGCTTGGAAAGTGTTACACATGATTAACAAGAGCTATATTTCTGCTATATAACAGATTAACCTGGATTTTAGAACCTAAGCAGATCAATGCAAATATTTTCAAATTCTGATTTTAAAATGTTTCTAATAGGCTTCATCTTTATGTAATTCTAGAAACCTTTTTTCTCCCCTTCCCTTGCTGGGGCAGGGGGAGAGAAGGTAAGAGGGGAGAAAAAAACCCCACAGCTACAGGTACTTGTAGTTTTTTAATATAGTTGAACAACTCTCAAATCACCTGGATAGCTATGTATTCAGCTATGCTTGAAAAAAAAACAACGAAGCCTAGAAGGCAATCACATCTTTGATTAAATTTTAAGAAAAAATTAGTCACAAAGATCATAAAATCTGCCAAATTTTAAATTCCAAGCCTATCCAAGCATTCATTTGACAAGTTAAGTGTATCTCAAGAGTATCCGCAGGAAAAGACAGCAGATATCATGGAAGTGTATAACTGATGCTACTTCCCTAGTGAAATTAAAAACAAAGCAAAAAAACAAACCAAAACGTACCCTCTAGCCAAATTTTCTAATTTCAATAGATATATATACTTTTAGGTAACAATAGATTCTAGCAGAACAAAAAAGCTATAAATTCAAGAATTTATCAAAGCAAGCAACTATTCTAATTGAAGTCCAAGTATATCTTTTTTGCTGTATGCCAGCAGAACAGGTAGCTTGTTACATTAAAAAACATAAAGGACAAAAATTAACTTTTGCACTTGCACAAAAATAAGAACATGTCTTTTAAACACAATTTGAAGGAGAAAAAGACTACAGACCCTTGCTGATAAAGGAAAATGAAAACTTACACCACCATGAAAAGGCAACCCACAGAATAGGGAGCTTAACAATGGCTAAACCAGTCTCTTATCAGTTTGTAAAGCAAGTTAATTGTTTAATATGTAAAAGAAACATACCGATGCAAGGCTTAACATGCTGAAAACACGCCTTTGTCAGATCCCCTAACAATGCAAAAGAACTCTGCCGTACCTCAGGCATTTTATCCTAAAGAGAGGAAGAAGAAAATGACAATTCTAGAAGTGTTTCTGATTCTCTTAAGAATGGAAATCCTTGGAAGAAACAGGTTACTCATCTCACCTGCATGCATTGGTACATTAGTGTCAGGATATTGCTGCGAGCCACTAGCTGTTCAATGTTGCCTCCAAGTCCTTCAGCTAAACCACTGAGTAAATCAAGAGCCACAATCATGAAATCTTTATCTGGAGCCTCATATTGGTCTGGCTGAGCATTATGCAACTGCAACAAATAAGTATGCATTAATTAGTACTATGATTTTCTCAGGGGTATGCATACAAAAAGTTTCAGAACTGCAGCTTCATTTAGATAATCAATGGTTACACTACAAATCTCCCTGCGAACACATAACTTTATATAGTTAATACATTGGTTTAAGGAAATATTCTGAAAACATTGGAATAGCAATAGAAAAATACCATGGCTTGTGCAAGGGTCTTCTGCACCAGATTTACACAACGCTGGTACACAGGTTCACAGTACGGAAGAAAGCCAGATTGCAAGGCAGTAGCAACTGATGACAGGCACTGGAATGAAAAAACAAAACAAAACAAAAAAAACCAAAACAAAGACAGAGGAAACAGTCATTACCTTTCCTCACTTCCCTGAAGTGCCTTTTACTTGGGAGAGGTAAATTAAAAGATATTAGCATTTTAAGTATACCCACGTGTAACTGATAAGTAAACACAACCTTGAAAGGCAGTACTGATTATCTGAGCCAAGGCAACTATTCTCAAGTTGTTACTATCTCCTACACATGCCCCTTGAGAAAATTTCTCAGCAGCAACAGCTTCTCAGAGGTAGCCAAGGAAGCACATACAAAAACAGTTAATGATATTCAGCCAGCACTCACAATAAGCTTTAGTATCTTGACCATGCACAAGCCCTAACATTACCTAAGAGTTATGAAACTAATTTTTCTAGAGGCACTTTCTTGCTTCACAGGCAGAAAGTACAGAGAATATATTACATTTCAGCTTGTCTGACAACAGTTTTAATGGAAGGATGAAGGGAGAGCAAGGAGAGAGAAGACAAGAATAAAAGGAAGATGGAATGTTCCTTTTTTTTTTTTTTAAATCCTATCAAAGAAAACACTCCAGAATGGCAGAAAAATATCTAAAAGATTTCTGCTAAACCTAATGACATTTCCTCAGTCACAAAGTTTTCTTACTACAGTCAGAATATTTTCTCCACAATGGGAAATGCCTAACACTGTCAGCTTTAACAGTCATACTTCTTAGTAGGAGCATCTTTAGTAGAAAGTGTAATTCCTAAAATAAGTTGATAAAAGAATATTCAGATTTTAACATTTACCTCTAATAAAGGGAAGAGATCTTTATCTTCATCCTTCAACATGTTCCACTTCTGGATTAATGGAGGCATTAGCATCTGAATATATTCCTGTTTAAGATGAAAATGCATCAGCTGCTGAAACACTTCACTGCATACTATTTTATTTCAAAGCTAGAAAATCAATGTATTAAGAATTGATATATATTATACTTTTTCAGCAACGCCCCAATGTACTGAAATTCTATCATTGTTGCAATACATAGCATTAGTTTGATGTTAGAATTTACAATTTGTGTCTTAAGATTTTTTGCTGAAGCACAAAAGCATCTTTGCCAAGTGAATCTTTTCCTCCAGATTTGGTTTCAGTCTAGCTACCTGGGTTGTTACAAATCCGTACGACTGCCTCAGGGTCTATGGAAAATATTTTTACTAGCAATGCAATCTGGCTGTGCATCTGCCACCTGCTTTTCTCAATGATTTCCCATTGCCCTAATGCTACAACCCTATCCCCCGCCAAATTCCTGAAACTTCTTCCTCAAGCAACTAACCATCCATGAAGAATTAATTCCCTGTCTCTCCAAGACGCACTTCCCCCTTCTGTATAAAGCTGTTGCATATTCCCTGTCACTGCACAGCCACAGTCACAAGGACATTGAGCAAGGCACCCCTACAGTGCTGTTTCTCCCAGAAGAAATCTAAAGAGCCAACAGATGTTGTCAGCTAATGCTATGTCCAAAGATACAAAATTCTAAGTGACTGAAGAAAGTCCCACCATCACCAGGAGCTCCCATTTAGCTTCCGCCTGGTACTGTCAAATGTCAAGGTGGCCAGGACCAGAGAGAGACTGAAAGAGAGGTCCTTTTATGGTGTGGGGTCTTGGATGACAAGTAAAATGCCATGGAAACAACTCAAATTGTTTTATTCTAATGTGTCTATGTCATGTGAAGCACTATAGAGAAATAAAACAAGTTTCAGTAACCATCATAAGAAGACACACACATGACATGTATGCATGTTCTATTAATTAATATATGTACACGCCCCCATATTTGCCTATGTGTTATCTGTGCTTTGTCCAAATGATTCTGTGTTTTTATATACAAAATGAATGCCTGTCTAACTCTCTGATAAAGCAATTTCTAGTGATCGCATGCTCCAATACATCGGAAAGAGATACAGAGAGCAGCTTAGCTATACTTAAAGTGGTTACAAAAAAAAGTGTGGTCATTAGAAACTAAAACACACATTCCACCAATTTCTCTGAAGTTCCATTTCATAGCTATATTGATATATGCATCTCCTGCGAGCATGAGAAAAAAAAAATCATGATGAGAAGCACATTTCACAAGCCACTACACACATAATTGTTTATTAAAAAATGGCAAATATTTGTGTAGTGGGAAAATTACATGCAGTCTATGTACTTTACCTGTATTTAGTATTATCAAAACCTACACAGAAATATCAGCATTTCTGTTTTAAACATATAAAGCACACTACAAAAAGCACTGAACCAGTTTTTAAGTTATGATGAGCGCTTCTACAGAAAATAAGGTATACTCACTGGTTTATTTAGATGATGTCCTACAGAATCTGCTAGAGTTCCTATAGCATCATAAAGAATGAGCAGGTTTTTATGCTGGTATTTACTAAATGCAAAGACCAAAGTATCAAGTATATATGCAAGATAAGGAACAAGCTCTGTACAAGCCTCCTCTTCTAGAGTAGCAAAGGCACTAAGGGACAAAAAAACAGGTTAGTTAGTATCTTGGAAAAAAACAAAACAGGACAACCCCCAAATACCTTCACTTCCCATTTCTGTTTAAACATAAAACTGTATTTAGTCCTCAAATTCACCCAAATTATTTTTTCAAAGTGGTATTACTGAGATAACCTTGATCTATTTTGATTGAACTCGTAAGGATTCAGCTCCTACATTGTGATGAACAAAATTTAAAAATATTGCTGTAAAACTCATTCTGTATAGACAGGAAGCCCCCACCAAAAAAAGCATTACTGTACACAAGTTACAATATACTAACTGAAATATTAGGAACCATAACAGAAGCTGTTTATGTTAATCTTTAATGTATGCTGTAGCTGCACCTAGAAGCCCTAGTGCTGTTGTGCTGGTACAATGCCAACATCAGCCCATAGTCTCAGCAGTTCACCACACAGAAAAACAGATACAGAAGGACATGGAAAATCAAAAGCAAAGACAGGGCATGAACGCTCTTTTAGCCAGTCTTGGTCAAAGCACACGTCATGGCATCATGGAAACTTTTCAGGTTGTCTGTAAAGTGTTTGAACAACAGCATTAAAAAAAACCCCCCCAAAACCAAACCCCCCCCCCCCCCCCCCCCAGACATACTGCTTCAGAGAAACATTAAGAAAAGGAAAAAATATGAGCTACTGAAGATTTAGTGGCCTAGCTTGTGTCAACAGGATTATTATTAGCCTGTCCCTGCACTAAAAATGCATGCATCACTGTATGAGGTCAACAATCACCTACTAGTGTGCTACCAAATACAGAAATGACTTTTTCTTAACACAATGCAACTGTGAACACTAAGTGGCTAGCATTCTTATTTATTTATTATTTTATTATATTATTATGAAGTGTTCTTTCAGAAAGGCAATACGATGTGAGCAGGAAAACATGTTTCAGTAAAATACCTTTTTGGGTGTCACTAACTAAAGGAGCAGTTTCTCAACAGTATAGAAATGAACATTAGACAACTACTATGATAGAAGTTAGTGATGAAAACATATGGTATCCTACTACAAATTTTCAATTTGGTAGACATTCTGTGCAACTCTTCACAGCAGGGATGCAGCTTTTTGCTCCTCTCTAAGAAGGATCATTGTATTTCATTGCAATTTAGAAAGCTAGTAAGTATGTTTTGACTTGTAAGAGCTCTACATTTTCCTTGGAGTTTCCCAAAGAGTTTAATTTTTAGCTGCAACTGTAATTTTAATGTATCTCTGCTCTAAAGAAAACATTTCAAAACTTGCTATAAATCTGATATTGAACTTTAAATTAAAAAACAAAAACAAAAAAACAGGTGTATTGTTATTTTTAATATTTCCATTTTATTTTTCTTGTTACTTTAACAGTTTCCACTGCCCATTACACTTCCTTCATAAACCCTACATGAGGTTATTTAACAACTGCAACACAGCTGTGTTCAACTACATGCACATTTCAACCATGTTTTGGATAAGGAAGGTATGAACAGAAGTGTGGGGTTTTGTTTGTTGTTGGGTTTTTTTTTGTGTAGGTTTTTTGTTTTGTTGTGGTTTTTTTAATAGAATCTGTACATAATCTGATTCCTTGGATCTGAAAATGCATAAAGCAAGTAGTCTTATATAATCATTTTCCTGCTTATTCAGAAAGACTATCACTATGAAAAGACAGAACAGAGCAGGTGTTAAAGCTACCAAAATTTGCTAGCCCAATGTCTGAAAAGTTTTAGACAAAAAGGAAACCGTTTAATACTCAAATCTTACTAACTACATTTCATTAAATTCATTGTATCCGTTCTCAGGCAAGGATACATCTACTCCTTTTGTGCAAAGCTTAGCACAAGAACTTTGACCTCAGTCTTGTCCTTAGGCACAACTGGTATTTGGGGGTTGTGTGTAATAATAACAACAATAATAAAAAATTTGCATGTTTTAAGTGTTAAGAATACAGCCAGATGCAGATCTAACTTTGCTTTACAAAGAAACCTTCTCGGCAGTCTGCAGTGTATACTCCTGTCCCACACAAACTGACATGTAAAAGCTTTATTTTATGAGCTTCCTGAACAAGAGGTACACCCATTCCCATTCTATTAATGGTGTCTCCACTAATGGAGCCATTAATTATTGTTTTTTAAAATATCAGCAGACAAGGGGGATAAGGGAATCTTATCTCCCGGGACCTCCCTTCAAGAGAAAGATAATATCCCTTGGAATAATCATAACCCAAATGTTTTGGTAATCTTGAGCTAAATATAAACAACCTCAGTAATCCAAAGATAGGATAGTTTTCCATTGCAATTAGTACTGACCTTGTTCATAGGCATATTTAAAAAAGCCAGATTTCTGGTAAATGAAACAGCATATATTGAAAATAAACAAGTGTCACAAACAGATAATTTCTTTTACTACAATAAATTATTTAGTTTGCTGATTCATATACACTGAAAACAAACCTGGACATGAGAAATACAAATGAACCTTCTTCATGTTATTACAATTCAGAGTGATTTGTGACTACTCCAGAAGAAGCTCCCTCTACTCCAATTTAGAAGCGAAAGAAATATATTTAGAGCTAGAAATAGAGTCATGTATTCATTGATAAAGGCATTAAAATAGTTTCCCAAGAAAAAGCAGTGTCATCAATAGTGCTTTTTGCTTAAGCTTTGGCTTACCTGCAGGCAGCTTCTTGTACTCTCTTGTTGCTATCCAGGATACGCTTTAACAACTCAGTCATTAATGGCTTCAAGTATGTGTCTGGGGGTTGACTAACTACCCAGTGTGCATAGCGACTAAGAGTCCAGCATGTAATGGAGCGCACAAGAGCCTTTTTGTCAGAGAGGCACTGAATAAGGTGAGGGATCAGCTCAGGAAGATATGGAATCATACCCTGCATGCAGCCTAGAAGGAAAAATACAGCTATTGCAGTACCAAAATTAACAAAAAGTTCTATTGTTTTCTGTTTCCTAGAACAGATATATTTTCATTCTCTATCACATAGGAATATATTTTAACAATATACAAAGTAAGACTACCTAATTTATATTAAGTCCCAAAAAGAAACCTTACATAAACAATAATTAAAATCCCCAATTAAACCTGCCTTCATTTCAACTACATTTCTACTTCAGTGCTTCCCCAATCTCCAGACATAACTGCTTTATTAAATGGAGAATGGCAAGTATATCCAAATAAAATGAGTTTTTAAAGCTTTGAGGTCCTACGTCAGCCTACTCAGAGTAATCAAGACAAGAAGTAGAGAAAGAGTCGGTCTTGACAACAAATAATCAAATCATTAAAAAGAATTCCTTAAGAAATTTAAATTTCTTCTTGTTTTCTCCTAATATCATACAAATACCGACCAGCAATTAAGGCTACACGTTTCAAGTCAGCAAGGGCAGTAATACACTGAGATCTGCCAGAAGTACTAACTTTTACCTTGCTTGACTGAAAATCAAAACCAACAAAGAAGTCTTCTAGTAACAAAGAAAAAAAAGTATGTTCACTAGGCACTGTGGGAAAAGAAAATCCAGGCATGGACCCAAATGTATTCCTTCAGCTTGCAAAAGGGACAGAGATGCTAGAAATGCAGGCAAAAAGTTAAGCAAGACTGTGAGTAAGTACAAAGGAATTAGAGAACCATCCACGAAAAGCAGCTCAGGGCAGTGAAGTCACAGGAGTGGTCTTCATTTCTGAAAACACTTGAATGAAACATAAGGCTCAAATTTACTAAACATTATTATTCTGTGAAATTAAGGCAGTATTTCATGAGAGAGCAATAAATATATGCTGCAGAGTTAAGAAAGGGAGAAATAAAAGAAATTATCTAAGCTATTTAGCCTCCTGAGCATGCATAGATTTGAAAATGAAAAATTAAATAACTGCAGTCACCAATTGGTAGATGTAGAGATAATCACCAAAACTGAACCACCTAAGGACATACACTTGTTTACATATGTAAATTTACCTGGAAGGAATCACAGAGCTGCTTTAGAACCAATCAAAAAATTCAGCAGCCTTATACGCACTGTTGCCTTACCTTCAGCAATTGCTCCAAGAACAAGGATACCAGATTCTTTAACTACCCATTCGGGATGGAAGAGCAATTCCTTCAAAAGGGGCAAGATGTGTGGCAGAAGTTCATCGCGAAATACATTGGCTAGGACATCTAGAGCAGCAGCAGAACATTTCCCTGAGGGGAATTAACAGTGTTAATCTGTGCTTATTATACAAGTAGTTGTAGTTAGGCAATGTAATCCTTATCTTAAATTTGAGCTGCCAGTGGAGTCTCAGGGCATTTGGAGGAAAGATACTTCCATTTCATTACAATACACAGTGACCCACTATGCTCTGGTGCAAAGCCACAGCTGTTAGAAAGCCAGTTTTGCAGCACTTAAATAGCCACCAAAAGGACTTACACATTGGGGATATCAAAACACTCACTGACAGGAACCACACCATTATATTGCAACATTATACACACGACGTGATTTCAGGATGGCGTAACACTAAGGAAGAGGGAATGGCTGTGACATGAATGTAACATATTGGAGAAACTAAGGAGAAATGGCCTAAAAATACTAGCATTTGATTCAAAAGAAAATGGTCAAACATGATCTATGTCTCAAAGTAAAAAAACGGCAGAATCATCCAACTCTAGAGACTGAAAGGACTTTGCTGGCCTCTGCTCTGAGCTTTTATACCTTACTCCTATTCTGTGATGCAACAATATGAAGAGGCAGTCGTCAAAATTTGTTTGAAAGTTTTAATCCCATGTTTTTAGCAAACAAAAGCTCATAAAAGAAAAATCAGGAACAACTTCAAAACATGTTTCAGAAATCCTTACTCTGTTTTTCTGCTGTGGTGTTGTCATTGTCCTGGTTTCAGCTGGGATAGAGTTAATTGTCTTCCTAGTAGCTGGTACAGTGCTATGTTTTGAGTTCAGTGTGAGAAGAACGTTGATAACACACTGATGTTTTCAGTTGTTGCTAAGTAATGTTTAGTCTAAAGTCAAGGATTTTCCAGTTTCTCATGCCCAGCCAGCAAGAAGGCTGGAGGGGCACAAGAAGTTGGGAGGGGACAGAGCCAGGGCAGCTGACCCAAACAGGCCAGAGGAGTATTCCATACCATGTGATGTAATGTCCAGTATATAAACTGGAGGGAGTGGGGGGATCACTGCTCAGGGACTAACTGGGCATCAGTCAGCGGGTGGTAAGCAATTGCATTGTGCATCACTTGCATATTCCAGTCCTTTTATTATTACTATTGTCATTTTATTAGTGTTACCATTATCATTATTAGTTTCTTCTTTTCTGTTCTATTAAACCATTCTTATCTCAACTGACGAGTTTTACTTCTTTTCCCAATTTTCTCCCCCATCCCACTGGGGGGGTGGGGGGGGTGGGGGTGAGTGAGCAGCTTCGTGGTGCTTAGTTGCTGGCTGGGGTTAAACCACAACAAAGTCCTATGACCCACACACAGGCCATCAGAACTGTGGTTTCCTCACAGCTAACTCCTCTTTTCACAACTAAGGTACTATATTCTGGTCAGAAGCAAATTCTTCACATAAAAAGAACTACTGGTAATGGCCATCAGTAGTAGCATGATCACATGAAGAAAAAAAAAAAAAAAAAAAAAAAAAGAATAAAATGAAACACACAAGCCAATTCTAGAGGGAAGACTGAAGTAGAAGAAAGCATTATTAAGCTTCCTCCAGCTCTCAATGTATAAGAGCTTTTTTTTTTTTTAAACTGAAGTTAAACAGGCGATACATTACATTTTTTATGTTGTAGAATTAAAATTCTAAGTCCAAAAGTGTTGTTGAATTGCATCCAGTAAATGTTTGTAGCTTGATCTGTCATATTCAAAATAAGAAATAAGCTTACAGATGGATAGCTTTTGCCAATACAGTTACATAGTCACAGTGTCACCTGAAAGACTCCCCCTTCACCCCATCCACCAATTATGTCAGCAAATAGTTCTTTTTGTATTCAAAAGCAAAGCCTCATTACTCCTATACACAAAGTCCTCTTTTTGCTGTGGTTCTTGTATTATGCAAGTAGCTCTATTTTAAAACATTTTACACATTACTTTGACATACTTAAATTCCAGTCGGAAATAGTATCATCATCATCAAGTTCATCGTCATCATCGTCATCATCTTCAATACCATCTTCTTCATGTTGCTGAGCCACCGTTCGTGAACGATGAAAACGAGGTCTTATGTCCTGTTCACTATCTGGAATAGCTTCATCTTCTTCAACATCCCCCTGCCATCAAAATGTTTTATCAGATAAACTAGTCCAACTATATTGCTCAAGTAAGTTAAAAATGTAGTTTTAGTTCAAGATTTTATAAGCATATAAAAGATTCACATCCCACTTGTGCTGCCCAGCTAACTAAAAACACCATTGTTCCTGCATTGTGCTGCCGCATTTACCAGAAAAATGACAGAAAGATAGAAGCAGAAGAGGTAAGTGCATGCACAAAGTATCCTTCTTGTTAAGAAATTACACTTGATGGGAAAGAAATAGAAAGAAGAAATGATAGAGAAATTCCAGTACACAGACATATTCTAAAATGTAGTGATGGAAAAAGCCATGTATTCAATCTAGAAGGTGTTAGAACTAATTATGAACATTTTTCTGGGGCTGCATTGTTGCAGTAGTTCATGAGCAATAGTATGCAAGCTATGCCTAAGTTGGGTAGGGGGGGACAGGGGAAAAACAGGAAAGCCTGCAGATTATTTTCCAACAAACATGGCAGCAGCTGCATTTAGCATTTGTAACAGCACACCTTGCCCTGGAAGGCTAATTCTCCATTGAACAGATGGTAGGCCAGATCTGCCCATTCTGGTCTGAATCATTCTGATTTATAGGTCAGAAGCTAACCAGATATTCTTACAGAGTAAAAGAAATTGATGCTCACCTTCAACAGAATAATATCAATCTCTGAATATTTCATACCATTTACCAGCACAGGTATCAGCCTACAAAGAAATATTGATACATGTCAAAATAACACATAAAAAAGCAAGCCAGTTTTCAGTTACCTGGACCATAATTTTCATTGTAACCCTCACGACCCAACCCCCCAAAAAACCCCCAAACCTTAGCCTGATAACAAAAGCTAGTATCTAAACCAAGCCCCATGTCATAAGGTTCATCAATACTTTGTAATCTGAAAAAGTGTTAATTTCAAAATGCAAACTTTTAGCTAGAGGTAGCCAGATGGCACAACTGAGTTTTAAAATTTAAAAACCCTGATATTCTTCCATATGATGAATTATTCTGAAACACCTTTCAGAAATTAATTCTAAAGCTTTTCAGTTAAGCATTCAAACTCCCATAATATACATGGTCAACAAGTTGGCTCTCACCAATAATACTTGTCACTTTATTTACTTCTGGCTGAAGACTCTACCTCACTACTCTTAAAGATAGAAGTCTAACTATATTAAGTCCTCCTACCCTCTTGTGATTGCTTCAGTAAGACAAGTCCCCAACATTGCAGAGATCTTGACTAATCTGTATTAAGATTTACTTCATTACTAAACTGGTTATGGCTATGGGATTCCAACTGTACAGATGTACAGCTAAAAAAAGTACTAAAGGAAAAAAGTCAAATACTTCACATAAAAACATTCTCCACAGAAAAAAAATATCCATAGAATATGTATTACAAGCCAAATCAAGCTAATAAAGACCATAGACTGACCCAGCACCAATGACAGTCTCAGCCTCTTTATATTCTGCAGCTGAGTATTGTTTTTGAAGGTACCAGGCATACAATAATATTCACACATTGCAATGGCACATTAACTTCTGAACTTTGAATGAAGGAATAGTAAATATACATATTATCACCAATTTATTGGCACTTCTGCAGCGTACTTCATGAAGTATGCAGGAGCTATGTATTTTATAAGAAAGCCTACAGTACCAAAATGGAAGAAGCTGTTAGATACCACATGAACAGGTTTTTAGAAGATCTTGTCGCACGTTTAATTTAATATAAAAAAATTGTGAGATTATCATGAAGTATTGACAAACTTCTATAGCTCCCTAGTCAAACAGGACTCACCAACAAAGTTGCTTTCAACAAACATGACGTTGAAAGATCATTAGAGAAATGTTATGTTACTCTTATTTGTTTTTCTAAACATTTAAAAGTTTTTCTTTAAAAAAATATTTAAAAAATTGAGTATGATGCTGTTGTAGTGTCAATGTCCGTGCAGGCCGAGAGGTTTAATGCTAGTAGTTAACTACTAGTTAACAACTACTGTGACTGTCAGTATAAACAAGATGTGTGCTGGGAAGGGGGTGGGTAGACTCAAGAATTGTGCTATCAGTCTTCTGTCTTTTCTGCTACAAGAGTAGGAATTAAGTAAAACCATTTTTAAAACTTAAAATTTTTTTCTCATAACATTGGTTCTCTTGTTTTCAACTTCTACCCCTCCACTACTGCAGTAGGTGCTTTAATCTCAATTCCCTACTTTTTAATTGCTTATGAAAACTAAAATTTTACTGATTTTTTTTAATTGCCTCACATCTATAATGCTTATTTTTGCTGAGAGCAATGCGTCTCTTCCACCTGTGATTCTATTCTTCCACTCAAGGTCTTGAGAGAACTGCCCTAGTAATTTCAGAAACCTTCCATGCATATCTAAAAACCAAAGAGTATCCATTTACTGGGAACACTGCAGAATTCATTTCCTATTGCAAAAGGCTTCCAATTAGTCTGGAAAAAAAGTTACAAGCACTGTTGCAGACATGCAGATGTTTACGTCTCAAACATGGATATTCATTCCCATTCAATTAAAAATCTACATTTTGAGGCATAGGGTAACTTTTGGAAACTTACAACAAATAGTTTTTGAAACTTAAAGTACTATCAGGCTGCAGAAGTATGAAGGAACACATTGTACATGCTTTTTTCAAGTTTAAATTGAAATAGCAATCAATATAAAATTGATTCCTAAATCCAAGTGATGTCATGCTGTTTTGTTATGTTCTTTATAAAATGGGGAACCCTTTGTGTTACTCTGCACACAGAAGCATCACATACACACATGTTTACATCAGCAGTAGTCAAGACAACATGCTGATGGTACACCAGATATTACAGATAATGTTATGTGGAGATGTTTGAGCTTAAGTGGATGTTAGCACATCTTTGCATCCATGTGAAGTTTAACAGCCTATTAAGCTTAAGGTAAAACACCACAGTGACACAGTTTAGGTTGCTTCTGGAGATTACTGGGTCTGAAATCCTCAGAAGTCTTTTCAAAGAACTCTGTGCTACACCCATTTTTATTATACACAAGAACTAGCTACAGGAAAATTCTTCTAAGTAAACTGCAAGCTACATACAGTTTTTATAAGAGTAACCAGGCACAAGTCAATTGAACTTTAAAGATGACTATTTCAAAATAAATAGGACTTGTAATTCTTAATACTTACTTAGTAAGATGCCGACATAATACATCTTTACAAATTGGCTGTTCAGCCAAAGTCAGCCAGAACTCACAAGCCTCCAAAGCCACATTTTCATCTTGGTCCTGGGTCCTTTGAAGCATGTACTACAAAATATAAAAATAAATCACTTGTATAAGATAGATGTTAAGTGTCCAGAAGAAGCTACCAACATTGCAATATGTGTTTGCAAAACCAGACTATGCTACCATAGCAATTTTGTTTCTTTGGGGCGAGGGGAAGAAACAAACATAAGAGAATACTTAAAGCTATCATGAGAATAAGCTAAGATACTTCTTTCTTAATGCTAAATGATTCAGATTCTAAATTTCTTCATTGTTTAAGTGAGAACATTATTACCAAGAAACTGTAGAGACTCAAGATAAACAGCAGTTTCCCATCAATAGATTTTTTTATTTTTTACTCCCCCTTTGCACTTTTGAATAAAAAGGTACAAATATATCCTTAATAAGATGGAAATACTTTTTATTTCCAGTACTATAAAAAAGTTTTCCTTCCAAATCTTGATTACCTGACAGGATGTAATTAAGTAGAACCCAAAAAGGGGGGGGAGGGGAGTCTCACATTTTTCTAGCATGAATGGCAATTCAGACATTCAGTATCAAATCTTTAAGCTTGCTATTAAAATTTAATCTTTATTCAACCAAAAATAATCAAATAACCTGCATAAACAAAAAGCCTATGTAGACTACTACTACATCAGTTTCTTATACACAACTGCCAAAACAATTTAGGGAAGACTCTTGCAACTTCCAAAATAGTAATTTCTGCATTCTTCCATGCCAGCCCTTATTTCTGAAACAGTTAGTTCTCCCATTCATTTTAGAAAGTCTCATGCAAGTCCATGCAGGTACCTTTCCTCATACATGGATTTAGAATAAAAGAAATCCCTTTTCAGTTGCTTCAGAATACCATTTAATTTTCAAAATTAAATAGAATGGGGACACCTTTATTATCCTTATACATTTCAGGGATGCAAGACTTGCCACGAACAAAACCCCTTTCTACAGAACTACACTAAGTTGCAAACAGAAATACTGCTCTGTTCCAAGTTGTCAATAGATTGAAGCTCAGAAAAGTTGAAAAATGTGCTATTCATGCAAGCAAGGCTTCCTTAATGCACCTTAAAAGTTAAGAGATTTGGCATTTTCCCGACAGGGCTTGAAAATCCACTATTTTGTTGTGGATTTGTTATTTGTCAGGAAGACAAAAACAGAATGACAAAAAGCAATCCATTTGAAGAAGCCCCTCACACTGCCGTTTCCTCTTTAAATATCTATTATAAGTATGCTGTATGCTCCATGAAGTTAAATAGCAGTAGACTGAAAAGGCATGTAAAATAGCCATACACACTGACGCTAGTAATAAAGCAAAATGGGAGAAAGGTATTTGAAGGCTTTTTTTTTTAATATTATCATGCCAAATTTAATAAGTACTTTTAATGGTAAGCTATACAGTTCTACTGACTTAAGGCAATGCAAATAGTTGCTTTGTCACAATGAATTACAAAATAGCATAGGAAGATTATTCAGTACAGTTTGGTGTACTCTATAGCATAAACAATGTAGTGTTAGTCTTGTTAAGTCAAACTGTCAAGAAAAGAATAGTGGGATACACAAAGTATTAAGAAGAACACATTCTTTGAGCAGTAACAGACATGTCTATCTGAAGAAAGCAACAGGATGTAAAAGTCAAGATTCCTACCAAGAAAGATCTTAGGAGCCACATGTTTGGATAAATAAGCTCTGTAAGCTTACAAGTGCAATCCAGTAATTGAAGTATTAGGTTGGTCTACTCCTGGCATATCCTGTTATCAAGTTCCCAGACAAAAAAAACAAAACAAAAAACACCAAAACAAAAAAAAAAGAAAAACATCTGCTTCACTCACCTGGAAGTGCATGCTCAAAAAACCCAATGAAATCCAAACTCAGCCATTCCTGTATGCTCCAGGGATTTGGCAAAAAAAGTTTAAACCTGTCTGCTTCAAATGCATGATGCCTGGCAAGACCTTCTTAGAATCACTACTGGATCATTAATATTCTTAACCACTTTAAAAGTGATTCTCCATAAACATAAAGAACATCACATAAATAAAAGTTCCTCTCTCTTCCTCTCTCTTAAGACTTTCTTCACTTAAGAGCAACCATCAGCAGCGGCACTAAGCCTGGAGGCATTAAAGCCTCAAAGGTGCAAAACCTGACTCATTTGGATGCTGAACAATAGTCAGCTCTGCAATATTATATTTGCAGATACCAGGATGTATACAGAACTGGGAAAATCAGTAACAGTACACAGTAGTCCCAAAACTGGGGGGGCGAGGGGGGAAGTCTAAACTTTGTTACAGAACACAAAATCACTACTACTGTCTTTTGTAGAGAGGAAGCCTAGCAATAGTTTTCCCAACAACAAAATACCAGATACAATAAGAATACCATCTTGGATCTTCTTCTGGTTGGTGACATCATTTCTACCTACGAAGTCCAGAAGTTCCATACTGATCTTAGGAGGGTGAAGAGCCAGAAAAGTTATCACTTCTTGACAATATGATCTCGAAAGCTTTATTCTGTCTCAAAAATAAGTCTCTCTCAACCAACCAACCAAAAACCCACCACTAAGTACCAACAATCCTTGCTTGTCTTACATTATATGAGAACATGTCTGCTAAGACTGATGTCATGGAATTCCAGACAACATAGGAAGACTAGATGGCAGGCCAAGGCTGTCAAGGGTCACCTCAGTTTTATGCATCTCTAATACCTGTGTATTAGGAGCTAAAAAACCTTAACACTTTCCTTGTGCTGTCTGGGTACTGTTCTTACGGAACTTGACACTGGGTTATGACCCACCTGTCCACATGAAATCTGCATGAGAAACATTATGATTTTAGCTGTATTTCCAGTCTGGCAAGTAGCATATGTAAACACTACCTAGAAACTGCCAGTACTTCCCAGAAATGTTGAAATTACAGCTCAGTTGAGCAGACAAAAAAAACAGAGCAGATTGGTCCTCTGGTAGATAAGTCTGCACTAACTTAGAATGCTAAAGGAACTATCAAATGACATTAACCTCTACAACTCAATGAAATGGGAGGCATTGTTGTTAGTAGCTCAAAGAGCACCTCAGCTATATAAAAATAACATGCCTTATCCTTGTTGTGGTCAACACATCAGAAAAAAGTGACAGCTTCAATGTGTGAACTGTAGCAGTATCAGCACTAGCACTAGATTTTTAACATGATCTTCTCACTTGGGGTCAAGCAATGCCTCGCTGCTCCATAGTATAGCTGATTCTGGCCATTTCAGGATCAATTAACTTAATGAGGAATAAAATGCCATTTGCATTGCCTGTCAAACACAATGTCAAGTTGGCAATTAGCCAAGAAGGAAGTTTTTCAATCTCAGTCTTGAAGGAAAATGAAGAGTAGGCAAGTGCAAGAGTAACATACCTCTTCTGATAAATGTTTTTTATTTGTTATTATTTCTGCAAGCCCAAACAGGTTTTTCAGCATGCAATCTGGGAAATGAGACTCACCTCAACTATACTAATCATATGAGGAAGCAGGCGATCCATTCGAACTTCCAACAACATTACCAGAGCACGGCAAACATTTTTGCGTACTTCAGGCTCTTCATCACCAGCCAGTGCAAAAAGGTTCTGTTAGAAAGTAGTACCAGTTGAAAAGCCTCAGTTCATCTAGTTCAACTTGCACTTAAATTGACATTACTGGCAAACTAAAGTATGCAAATATGTACTTCTATACTTTCCCACCCCACACCTCCAAATACCATTTTATTTCTTAAAGACATATGGTTTAGCAAATTAACTCTTCAGACTCTCAATGTGTGTTGTACACATAACCAAAACGTTGCATAATATTAGCAATGGCACAAGAACAGTATTTCTTGGATTTTTTTTTTCTCCTAAACATGAATGAAGTTTTGAAGCCAGAAAACTCCATCAGTACATAACAGCACCAAATCAATACCACCCTTCTAATCCATGTTCAGTAGCAGTATTCGGAGAGACCCAGACAGACTCAGTGACATGATGATCCTTGTACTGGATTTTCCATCACAAGTGACAGACTACTGCCATTACTTTTACACCTTTATGCAAGAGTTTCCTCTACTTATGAAGTAGAAGCATCTTTCAAAATACTATTTCTTGGGCTTGGAGAGCGCTTAGACTAATAAACTGTAAGCACAAGCATACAGAATGAACTTCAATCCATGGGGACTGAAGCTAAGAACGGGCAATCAGAAATAGGGAGTTTGGGGGTAGAGGTGGTTGTAAAACATAATTCAAAACCATTGATAAATCAAATGTGTAATTTTACTCAACCGTCCAACCAAGAATGCACACCCACCTCAATGAAAGAATCTATGTGCAACATAAGAGCTTGAGTTCTGCTGATGATAAATTGATTGACACATGCAACAGCATGAGACCTACAAATGGAACAGTTAAAATATACATTTTTCATGAGCTGAAAACATTTTCTAAACTGTACATAGGCATCAAAAACATTAGGAAGCAATTTACGTTGTCCAAACATGATCTAGAGGCAAGAGGGAATAAATCTGCAAATCTATAGTACTACCAAGCAAAACTACTAATCCACATTTAACTACCACCTTATACTCTGATATATCTAACAAATATTTAAAAATAAAGTACTCAGTAAATAAAAACCAAAGAAGGATGACTATATCTAGCATATTTGTTCTCAACAGTATGTAAGGATGTTCTTTTTCAGTGTATTACAATTATTGATCTTCTCAGATACTAAACAATTCCATACATGTCAACATGAATAAATTTTAGCATGCCCTTATTAATTTTTATGTATCCAACTGCCTTTGCAATATTTTTTAGTATTTAGTGAGACCACTACATGTCAACAATATAGCTGCAGCTTAGAATAAACACACACTTGTAGTAGGATACATACAGAAACACTTGCGTTAGAAACATTCTAAAAAATGAAGCATTGGTTCTTCTATTCCATTTCATGCAAACCCATTACTTACAGGGCTTTTTCAGTCTCAGAGGTACAAAAGTCAAATTCCATAATTAAAGGCACAGGGCAAAATTACCTGTAAAAAGCCTCTGAAGATCCATTAAAATATTTTTACTAATGTAACTCCAAACTTCTGTTCAGTTCAGACATTTCTGGGAAGACTGTCTCATAAAACGTTGTTCAAAAGTTGTCTCTTGACAGATTTAAATATGAAGTATTTTACTGACACTACCAAGAGTTTTCATACTTCAGCACTATGTACTGAAACCAGGCTGTGGGTCAGCAACTGGCCTGCTTTAAACTTGAAACTGGTTTAACAGTTTCAAAGCCATAAACATCGCAACATAGGAAAAAAGTGAAAGACTGTAAATGTGGCAAGGAAAAAGCATGTTTTTCTCAACCTCTCCCAGCTCCAGAGAAGTAGTGTTTATCTTTCCACAAGAGCAAGTTCATGCTTTGTTACATATTTTTCTTAGTGTGCATCTATTTTAGGTGAGTTTCTAAATCTTACTTGAATCCTTGAAATACTTGAATCCTATCATGATATATACAAAGTTGTACTTTTCCTCTTGGTCTTCACCATCTACTATTGCTGGCAATAAAAAATTGCCACCACCAAGTTGTAGTATCTTTCAATACAATTTTCAAACAGGAGTTAAAGAACGCATTTCACAGAATCACAGAACCACAAAATTCTTGAGGTTGGAAGGCACTTCTGGAGGTCATCTGGTCCAACCCCTCTGCCAAGCAGGGCCACCTACAGCAAATTGCCTAGCACCATGTCCAGATGGCTTTTGAATATGTCCAAGGATGGAGACTCCACCACCTCTGTGGGCAACCTGTGCCGGTGCTTGGTCACTCTCACAGTAAAAAAGTGTTTACTGATGTTCAGAGGGAACCTTTTGTGTTTCTGTTTGTGCCCATTGCCTCTGGTCCTGTCACTGGGGACCACTGGAAAGAGCCTGGCCATGTCTTTTTTGCTCCCTCTCTTCAGGCATTTACATACATTGATGAGCTCCCCCAGTCCCAGCTCTCTCAGCCTTTCCTCATAGGAGGGATGCTCCAGTCCCTTCATCATCTTCATGACCATTTGCTGGACTCTCTCCAGTACGTACGTGTCTCTCTTGCACTGGACAGCCCAGAACTGGACACTGTACTCCAGGTGTGGCCTCACCTGGAAGAGGAGGGGAAGGATCACCTCCCTTAACCAGCTGGCAACACACCAGCCCAGCATACCATTAGCCTTCTTTGTGGCAGGGGCACACTGTTGGCTCATTTCAGGGTAAAAGCTACTCTTCTTTGTAATGAATATTAGCAATATTGATTTATTTCTGGAATTTTTCTTCTATCCTATACTTCTGTTACTTTGGAGATACTAATTCAGTTTTACAGTGAAAAGATGATGAACCCATTTAATTTGATTCAGCTGAAGGATAAAGAGCTTTCTAAGTTTTGGTGCCATTAAAGCAGAAAAAAAAATTCCGCAAGAACTCAGAAACTATTGTCAGCAAAATAATTTTGAGACTTCCATTCCTGAAGACGTTACAAAATGGATGCAAAATTATTCTTTCTAATCAGAATATTAAGTTCTAACTGCAGCATCGAGTTTTTCACAGTAATATGCAAAAAATTAAAGTTTGATTTTCAAAATCATAGGCTGATTATACATTTGGAAGATGTAAAAAGAGGTGAGATTGTTGTATTAACTAAGCAGATAAACATGTAAATAACTGATGCATGGAGTCTCTGTGGATGCCTGCAGGATTGTTTAATAAAAAAACTAAGCATGTTTTAAACAGATCTACAAAATAGCAACCTTGCTGCTTATGTAAATAAAATTTTAACAGGTAAATGTAGTACAACACCTAAACCTACCTTATTTTTGGACTGCTGTGCTTGAAGAACTGCAAGAACTTAGGTATCATGATATTGAGTGGTCGGTCCAATACATCACTATCTAAAATTTCAGCAGAATCTTCACATATCTTCTGTAGAGCACCAAAAGCACCCTGTTTTAAAAAAAAACAAAACAAACAAAAAACAAACAAACAAAAAACCCCTCTTTCACATTCTGAAGAAAGCAAAATTTCAGGTTTTGTACAGAACAGGTAATTTCAGCACAACATAGTAAATGTAGCTAGTTAACACAGTTAACGCAGCTAACTAAATATGGAGTTAAACTGAAAGATCCTTAAAGACTTTTTATTTAAGCACTTTACACCAGCATCTGTAAGCTCTCAAGTTGGGAGTCAGTAATGGATAAGTGGTAATGTTAATTTTAGCATTCAATGCTCATCTATGCAATCATATTTTTAAAAATGCTTAAAAGCTAGTTCTTACTTGAGAAATAAGAGTCCAGGTGCAGAAGTATCCAATTTGATTACATATCTAATTGCATTCCCTTTCAAGGTTTGTTATGGGCCAAAACAGAACTCTGGATACGATGGTCAATTTGAGTTTCATTTTCAAGTGTTCTCTTTTTCTTGAGAAAGAGGCACTGAACCACTACATAACAGCATGGCATCTTGGACCATTATACTTGCTCTGAGGATTATTTTATACAAAATGCTTCAAACAATTTCATGCAGACAGTATCAAGTAATTAAAATTGTGTAATCATAGATTTTTATTTTTTCAAATCAGACAAGGCTTTTTTTGTCCTCATAGATCAAAACAGTTAAGTTGGTATTTATTTTCTTTCAAACACACTGAACAAAACAGTTCGTTTCACCCTGAAATAGCAATGACAGATTGCTTTTCTGGATTAAGTCACCATAAGAATGAACAGTACTTTTAAGAGAAAATTCAGGGTCAACTCGATGATGCTGATGATACCTAAAAGATTAGGCATCACCGAGTGGTAACTTCTGGACACTTCTCAGCTGAGACGCTACAACTACCTATCTGCACTCTTATTCTACTTTTATGCAAAGAAAACAAATTTGTTTGAAGGAACAGTAAGAACATGGAATGCAGGCAGAAGAAAAAGTATCAAATTTGAGCCACTGTTCTCTGAGGACAATATATGCGCATTTATACACACATTATATATAGTGTCTACGAAGAGAGATAAAAATAATCAGATTCAGAGAATAATCTTCTATTTTCTATAAGTCTCCTTACCTCACAAGTATTGTAATCTTCAGAATCCAACAGGCTGCAAAGCTTTGGTAAGAGTTCAGGCCAATTCTGTAATTCCCCTTTTGAGGCAATGGTTGTTATCAGAATGCCTAAAGGAATCAGAAGGATGAAGGAAATGAGATCTCACATACCTGTACATGTTGCATACTGACTTTTGTCATTTTTGTCCTCTCAAAGATCTAACGAGTTAAGAAACTTCTTGTTTTGTTAAGAACTGACAAGCATAAAAAGAGGAAGTACATTTAATTAAAAATGGTATTTGAAGGGCTTTGAAATGCAAAGGTGGGTTGTTCCTTCCTGCTACCATGAAGGGTTCAGATGTGAAAAATCAAGCACAAAGTAATTCTAGTTAATGAAATAATCATGCCCAAACATTGCAGGACAGCTTTGGCTCTAAGTTTACTAAACACTATACAAATCTTGACCTCCAGTAAACACTGAGTCTCCATCTCAAGTCACCTCTTCTTTATTATGATACAAAAGCATGGATGTGGGAATCTGTCATTCAATAAACTTACAACCCAGTGGTTACGTGTTCACAACTTTACTGTGTTTACACAAAACATTAAGGACACATTCTAAGACCAAGATACCTACTAAGAGCTTACACACTATGGCAGGTCATCCAGTGATCAGCTGTAGGGGTTGGCTGATTAAGATCCAGCAAACAGATAGGTCAGCCCAAAGAGTCACTAATTCTGTTTCTAGCACATACAGAAATCCCAGGAAAAACTAATTAGGTGACAGGAACAGGGAAGGCTGCTTATAAACTAGGATTGACTTTGTATGAGTCCATTTTGCCTCAAGACAAAATGAAACGGGTAGCATAACCCATTATGCTACTGACAGTTACTTCTAATGAGTATGAACACAGAAGAACTTGATAACTACTACAACTAATAATCTCTGAGTGATGAAAAAAGCTTTCCTAAGCTTTTTCATTGAGCTAATCACAATATATTATTTTTCTGTGGAATAAAATGTTGAAATTCTTGTTAAATATACAAGAATATAGGACAACATTACAGAGCAAAGGACATTCTGGACAAGACACACAGTAACTAAAAGATATTTTGCATCATGTTTCTTTTGATGCAATAGGCTGGAGAACCCACAAAGACAAAGGGCAAAAATGAAGACAGAGGTAAAACACAATTTTACAGCTCCAGAAGTAGTTTGTATCCAGTTCTCTTCATAACTGCAACTGAATAGAAAAGATTCCCAAAAGCCTACGGAGATCTATGGAGTCTTAAAGACTGCATTTCTCCTGAATATTATGGTCCTGCAAAGAATATCAGATGCATTAATAGAAAATACTTGTTTTACTGTTACTGAATCTTAATGATCCACTTCTTTTTTTTAATTAAACTGAATTTCACAAAAAGAACAAAATAAATTAATTTTCTTGCCTCCTAGCCAAAGTACTTAAACTGCAAAATTGTCTCCCTAACTTAGATCTGGCACGGGTTTATTTATAGACTTAACACAGGTTCAGAAACAAACATAAGAATGAAATTCCTGGAACTCCTCTGCACTAGCATGTGACAGAAGTTATATTACAAGCCTCAAACGGGTAGGTAGTTTTGGAAAAGAGTTGGTTGAAGATCTTTTCAAGGCCCTAGAAGTGGTTTCAGAGGATGAGAAATGGTCTGACTATACTTGTAATATGTGCAAGCTTTCACAGCCTAAGGAAAGACTATTTGAAAACTACTTCAAGTGTTCTTCCAAAAGGCTTATCCCAGACAGCAACAGGTTAACCTAGGAAATACTGCCAGATGCATAGGCAAGAAGTGACCTGAGGCCACTGCCCCTTGCAACAGAGTTGCACGCAGTTCAGACCATACACGTCATTACGAACTTTTTGTACAGGTCTGTGGAGAAGCCATTTAACACGGTGCTAGTGTTTTTGAAATGATAGAGACACTTTGGTGCGGAGAAAAAAAAAAAAAGAATAGTATTAGACTATCAAGACTATCAAGAGAGGCAACAGCTATAGCATTTGAAGCTTTGCAAAAGGTTTTAATAACAATGAGGAAACAGCCACACAAAATTAAGATTTAGGCACTTATGTCCATGTTGAAAGGAATCTTCATGGGCTTATAATGAGCTTCATCTTCTTTCAAATGTGAAATTTTTCTCACCCACCTGCTGCTTTATTTGGCCAGCACAAAACAGAAGACACCAGAGATTAGCCTTTGTGGCTTTCTCCGCAACACTTCAGACATAGAAACACGGACATCAGAAGAATAATCAAAGCAAATAAATAATCAATTTAGTAGCTTTCAGCTTTTTGACAGTTTTGGGCTAGAGCTGACAGTTAAAACAAGCCCTTCTGATTAACATAGTAAGCTGCAAAGTTAGAAATCTGAAACTGGAAGTCTTTATAACGATGGTCTTCTATTTGCAATGAACTTCAAAACAGTATTACAGAATCTGTTGATATTTCACTTGACAAATGTGAAATCTAATGAATATAGCAGCTGGGCTAATTGAACAGTAAACATACGAGAGAACAAACTCTAGAGGGATGGCAGAAATTGTTAAAAACATAAGCATAACTGTCATGCCAGCATCTTTTATATCACTGTTTCAATTACATGCAATCCCAGTTTACAGCATCAATTCTACAATAAAAAAATTGAATATAAAGAAGCAGCAGCTATGCTTCAGTACTTTCATGTCACTAACAGGACAAGAGGAAAGTTGGGGTTCCTGGGGTGGTGTTTTGCCTCTGTAGCTCCTAAAGCTGATTTCTGAACTCCTTAATTCTAAAAAGCTGAATTTTGTAACAAAATTCCCCTTCATAGGGCAATCATTAGCTTTCACTTTCCTTCTGCAGGGAAGGTCTCCAGCCCCAGCACTACTCTTAAACACTCAAAACTTAAAACTATTTCCCCTGCTTGCTTTTAAGCAGGAGCTGCACTAAGGTCCTGCCCAGACTAGAGCCCCCAGAAAGTTTTAAGAACAGTTACAGACACTTCCTAAATAGATGCATTTATTTCCTGGTAAGTTCGTGGGTCCTCAACACATGCAGCTGTCTTTTTTGAGCTTCAATCCTTATTTCAACATTAGCATATGGTGTTTTAAAACCAGTACTACACAGCACAGAGAAGTACCACTGTTACTCATTTGGGGATTAAAATAGGGAAAAGCTAAGTAAGGATACAATGATGTGTAGTTACCATTTGGTCTCAAGTCACAGTTCTAAAATCAACTCTATTGCCATGCTTACTTTCCTCAGTGAGGTGACTTCTAAGGATGGGATTAATCAGCTTGCCTCCATCTTGGCCAAAAGGTATCAGCGTTTGTCTGGTTAGCACTAGATACTAGAGATCACAAAGGAGAGTGAATGCTGCATTAAATCTCTGATGCTGTTTTGATGTACTTGCTCATCTTCCTCTCAGAATTCCAGAGATCTTATTTGCAATTGGCTCACTAAATCGATAATGATTGAACTGCAAAAACCCGTATGCATCTCAAAGAGCAGCTCTAACTAGCATGTGCCCACTCATATGCTAACAAGGCAGCCTAGGTAGGTAGTAATATATTTACACCTAGCTAGTACCAAGAGACCAGTGGGTACCGGACCAACCTCACTATTAAGACAGAAGGCTACAAGGATCCAATATTTAATTACTTCAAACTGCAGGGTGCAAATCATGCACTAAATAGCAACTCTTATGCAAGCATACAATTAATCAGTTGCTACTCATCTTCAGAATTCATACATGCTTGAATAATCCCTGCAAGAATCACCGAAAGCTGAAGAATAGTTGAGCTACTAATCCACAAACATTTCGTAGTAGGAGAAGTCAAAGAATAACTGCTTGAAAACAAACAACTCCCCTCCCACCCCCCAGAAAACCACCCCACAAACCATCACCACCAAACTACCCTAAGACAGCAATCCAAATGGAGCTGGAATATATTCTTTAGTCAGCTCCACTGTACTCCACTGACAACTCCTATGAACAAACAAGCAAGCGTGACTCTTACAACCCAAAATTGCAAAAGTACCTGCCACTCAAAGACTTGTTTCTACTGTCATTAAGAAAATGGGACATTAACAAAATTCATAGTAGAGCAGCTTCACAAGTGACAAGACAACAGGAAAAAGCTAAGAGATGAGCATTTTTCTCTAGTCCGTAGCCCATAATGCAGATGTCTGGAGACGGAATCCTATAGAAAAAGTAAACAATTCTAAAGAGCAGTAACTGGCAGATTTTTATAAGAGGAGTCAGCTGATACAAGCTGAATTTCTTTCTACGTGTCACCCAGCCCCATTTTCTCTACTGTACTTAAATATATTTTTTTTCTAGTTTTTGAGCAGACAAGGAAAATTACTACAATGATTGTAGTAATTGGAGGAAATCATATTCTCAAAGAGCAGACAGAAAAGCAACTTCACCTAGAAATAAGTAAATATAATGCAAATATGCATATTTTATGGAAGAGGTGTACTAAAACAAAGTATCTATGAAATCAGAAAACTATGTCACAAAAAAAATCTTCTCGTTGCAACTAGATGATCTTTAAACGTCCCTTCCAACTCAAAACATTCTATGATTCTATGATGT